CTCAGAAGGCTGAGGCGGAAGGATCGCCAGAGCCCAGCAGGTCGAGACTGCAGTGGCCGGAAGCGGCCACTGCACTCTAGTCTGGGCGACAGAGTGAGACTCCAACTCAAAAAATAAAAATTAAATTAAATTAAAAACTCCTCATGAGATTGGCAGTTCCACGGGGAGTCAGAGACCTAGGTTCTCACCCTACCTCTGCCAGCAAGCATATCCCCATCTGTGTGATGGGGCCAGCCCAGTAACCTAGAGGTCTCTACTCTGGCCTGTGCCTTCCTGACAGCTGTGGGCTAACAAAGCCTCCCCTCCATTTGGGTGGGGCCAAGCTGAGGGGAGGGTGGAACAGTGGAGGTGGGCATGCTAGGGCACATTGCCTCTGCAGGGATGTCCTTGTGCAGAGACATATGTTGGGCCAGCCCATCCCCAGCACAACTGAACCCCTGACCACAGAGGCAGCTCCCTGCTCTGTCATGGTACTTCCTTTCTCCCTCCCAGTCCTAGAGGAGTCCTCTTGCCTCCCCCTTCACTGAAAGATCACCAGAGTGTGCTTCCTACAGGGTCTTCAAAGGCCTGGCCTTGGCGTGTTCAGCCCATTGCCTCTGCCCCAGCTGTACCTCCTTTTTCTGAACCTGGGCTGCCCTTTTCTGTGTCTCCTCCTCTGGGCTGTTTCTCACAAAGATACCAATTAACCTCACTCACCCTCCTCTCCCAGGAACCTCCAAGATATCTTCTGGTGTTGAGCAGCAGTGAACACCTTTCAAGATGTCACCAGCCACCTGGCTTTTTCAGCCTTCCTGGGCTGAGCAGCCTACTGCTTTCTGGTCCTTGCCTTCATTCAGACAGGTCCCAAAACAATCAGGAACACCTCTTCACTCTTCCTCTCTTTACCCATCTTCCAGGGCTCAGTGCATAAGCACCTTCTCCATGAAACTCCTTCATGTTTCCTCCTCCATCTAAGCATGATCCCTTTGTGGCCAGGGCCGTGTCTGTTTCATCTCCTACACAGTGTCCAGGACAGGACTCGAGGGCAGTGAATATCCATGAATGAGCTGTCCCTACATGCTCTCTCCAATGATAGAGGCACCTGAGGCCAAGATGGGAGAAGTGAACTCCTACCAACCTTCAGCTCCATAAATCCATGCTCTTAATGGGGATGTTGATTACACATCTGTGCCTGTGTAACCTCAGTGGTTACAAAAAATATCTCTGGGTTTTTGTTTTCCTTTTTGGCAAATAGTACAAGGTCACATCAGAAAGCTGTGTGTATTTTTGATAACTTTATAGTACACTATCTTCTCTATGTGTAGCAGGATGTTTGAACCTAGAAACACTATTACTATCCATGAAATCCACACTGTGCAGAGCTCTGTGAGTGCTGCCAGGGATATGAGGAAGTTTCCATGGGGTCCCTGTTCTCATGGAATTTTCAGTGTCAATGAAGAGAGAGAAGTGGAATTTGTGAATCTAAACTGTTAGTCAGAAATACTGCATGATTCCTCTTTTTTTTTTTTTTTGAGTTGGAGTCTCACTCTGTCACCCAGACTGGAGTGCAGTGGCCGCTCCTGGCCACCGCAGCCTCAACCTGCTGGGCTCAGGCGATCCTTCTACCTCAGCCTTCCCATGATTCCTCTTATATGCAGAATCTAAAATAGTCAAGCTCAGCTGGGTGCAGTGACTCACACCTGTAATCCGAGCACTTTGGGAGGCCAAGGTAAGAGGATTGCCTGAGCCCAGGAATTTGAGACCAGCCTTAGTGATATGGTGAGACCCTGTCTCTACAATACATTTTAAAAAGTAGCTGGGCATGGTGGCATGCACCTGTCATCCCAGCTACTTGGAAGACTGAGGCAGAAGGATCAACTGAGCCCAGCTGGTGAAGGCTGCAGTAGCCATGGATGTGCCACTGCTCGCTAGCCTGGGTGACAGAATGAGACTCCAACTTAAAAAAATAAAAATAAAATAGTCAAACTCATAGATTCAGGGAGTAGAATGCTGGTTGCTGGGGGCTCTGGGGGAGGAAAAATAAGGGGTTGTTCGACGGGTATAAAGTTTCAGTTATGCAAGATGGATGAATTATAGAGATCTGCTGTACAACATGATGCCGACAGTTAACAGCACTGTATTGTGCGCTTCAAAATTTAAGGAGGGCATATGTTAAATGTTCTTACTACAATTTTAAAAATACTGAAATAGAATACTGGTTGAGATAACAATAGGATAATGACGTTTAAAGTTAATTGCCAAAATACTTGGTGTCAAAGCAGGTTAGAAACATAACTGGGAGCACTGCAGCTCTGGGTAGCCAAGAAAGTTCCTGGCTGATGTTCTGGCAAATGATAGTTTAGTCTGACTCACATGTGGGGCAACAGGGATGGGCACAGAAACCTGGAGTGGTTATGCACAGACAGAGGCCTGGAATAGGTCAGAGATACTGAATCTAAGACCCAAAGCATGCCAACCAGAGCCAGCTGAGCTACCTGCAAAGGACCCTGTCAATCTGGAACTCAGGTTTGGCTGCAGGAAAGGAGATATGCCATCCACAGACCTAGGGAAACCGAGGCTTTTGGGGACACAAGGTAAGGGCTGGCATGGAAACTCTAGTGGTCAGAGTTAGTGATATCCTGACAGTGTTGAGAAAAGCAAAACTGGCTATCCGGAAAGAATCTGGCTTGGAAATCTGGGGGTGGACTCAGCCCAAGTGAGTGGACAAGTGGATGCTGCTGCTGTCAGGAAGTATAGGGAGAAGGGTGGGGCTCAGGCGTAGCTCAAGAAGCTGCCACCTCTCCCTGGTGGCCACAGGACCCCTCTGCCCAGACACACTGTGGGCAGATAGGCTCCCTGCTTGGCACGAGCAACCAGGCCGTGCCTCCCTAGAACCGCTTCCTCACTGCAATGTGGACGTGCCTGCCAGACAGCAGCCGGGTTCCTGTGGGACACCTGACTCAGCTGCTCTGTCCCAGGCCATGCCCCTGGTCAGTCTTGGGCCAAGTGGTGGAAGGCACGCCTTAGGCTTCCTCCCACAGGGCCCAAGCGGCGTGCCCTGGTGCACGTAGAAGCTGGTGGCCCTAGGGGAGGAGGAGACTCCAAGGGGGAGAAGGTATCCCACCTATGAGAAGGCATGGGAAGGGTGGGCAGCGACTCCTGAGAGCCGCTGCTCTCGGGGAGGAGGCTAATGTGTGTGGACCCCCACAGGAAGAAGGGGCTCTGATCATCGAGGGTCTCCTCAACATCTCCTGGGGACTCAGGCGGCCCATCCGGCTCCAGATGCAGGATGACCGGGAGCGAGTGCACCTCCCTTCAGCCTCGTGGATGCCTGGACGGCCCAGTTGCCAGCCGTGAGTGTCCAGCCAGGTCAGGTGGCTTCTGTGACACCTGTTCAACCCGAGTTCTACTGTCTGGGGTGCAGGGGTATATTCACAGCCTTAGGGTGGAAGCCCCATTCCCGTATGGAACTCTGACATGGGAGCATAATCCAGTCTCATCCCCATGTCTTATGAAAGCCTGTCTGCAGCTTCACCCACCCCAATTATGCATCCTCACCCAGAGGGGCCTTCCGAAATGACAGCGACATGGCCTCCCTCCCTCCCAGAGAACATTCCGGGCTTCCATCACCTCCCTTCATGTTTCTCAAACATTCCTGTGAGTTACCTTACCTACAAGAAAAGAGGACTACAGCCAGGGGGTTCCCAACACCCATGCAAGCTGAACATTTCTCGGCATCTCCTGTTCTACCTCAAAAAATCACTCAGATTTACCTTCCTACTACTCTGCTTTCATTTTAATGCTCAAACTTACTTTTATAAATTTATCAGAAGCACAGATCAGATTTGTTTTAATATCAGAAGACTGTTTCCATCAGGAGGAAATGGTTTTCTACCTGTCTTGCTGTTTAAAGGATATTTACCTCTTCCTACCCCCCAGAAGGGCAGGGTTTTGCTTGCTTCTGCGTGTAAAAACTCCTTGAAGAGACAAACATTCAGAACTTTGCTCTCTTCATATTTAAGTAGAACTAATCCTCTGAGAATATGCACCATGCTGACACCCTGGCACATTCCCAGGTGTCCCTGGTCACTGGTAGCCAGTTTTGAGCCACACAGACTTACAGCAAAAAGTTAGACTCCTTAGGTTGCAAGTGTGACTCATGTCCCTTTCCTCGAAGTAAAAGCAATCACAGACAGAAACTGTGGGTTCTGCCCTATGCATTGCCCAGGAGCCTCTTCTGCCCACTCCCTTCAAGGTCCCGGGGACTTCAGGGCTATATCCCATCACACCCATTCCTTCTCCAGCCCAGGTCTGGCTGCCCTGGCTTGGAGTCCATCCTGTCAAGAGGCCCAGAGTTGGTCCCCTCAAGGTTATTCCTGCCCAACTCCCCACCAGGCCCTCAGGAAGCCCATAAGCCCACCTTGCACACAGTTGCACAGGCAGAGACCTGACTAAGCCTGATGCCTAGGAATACCCGGGACCTGGCTGTGTGCATGTGTCTGTGAGTCCACGTGACACAACCCAGCACAGCTGGATCTGCAGGGTCATACTCACCCTCTTTCCAGTAGATGCTAGGGGCTTTGCTTTTCTTTTGTTTTAAATTAACTCTCTCTGCATGAAATCCAGTTCCCAACTCCACCTGCCTTGCTTCCCACCTGTTTCCTGCCTCCAGGGGCTACTGGTCTCTTTTTTTTTGGCCTGAACTCCCTTCCTCTGCCAACAGTCACCTGAGCACCATGACTATCTCTTTTCAGAAAGGAGGCATCTCCCCAGGACAGCAGTGTCACTGCTGAGGAGCCACACGCTCAGCAAGTGCATAAGGCCGAGAGTTCCAGGGACAGCTCAGGTAAGTGAAGCATGCAAACTGCCTGGGTTCCTACCTTATCCAAGGTAGGAGTGGAGGGTCTTGGCTCCCAACACAATTTCCAAAGAACAGCTTTGTGCATTAGCAAAGAACAGCTTCACATGTCTCCAGGAGCTGCCCTTGTAAAATACTTACCCAGATGCTTACCTCTGAGGCTCTTTACACACTTTCTCTTTTACTTCTCTTTATGGAAAGGAAGCAGAGGCTTGCTGGGGTAACAGAGTGTGTCAGTGGCATGAGTTCCCTCCCCCGTGTCACACTATAGAAAGGAAGAGCATCAGCAGAGGGTATGGTACCTACCTGCCTGGCCTCCACACTTCCAGGACCCGTTCTCACACTCTGAAATCCTCAACTACTCATCTGTCTTCTTTGTGCCCCTTCTCTCGGCACTCAGTGAGGGGCCTCTCCCCAGCGTGGGTGCTCAGAGAACAGGGCTAGGGCCACCCAAGACCTCCCTGAGTGACCCAAGACATAGACTGAGGAAAGCAGGGCTGTGTGATGTCGTGACACAGGTTGCCCTGCCCAGGGGCCACCTTCGTCTGCAAACTGGGAATCATCCCAGTTCTACCGTAGTTTCCAACCCAGGAACAGCCCTCACATCACTCTGTCCCAGCAGGGTGTGATCTCAAGGCTCTAGAGAGCCAGACCCCCAGGCAGCATGCAGTTACACTATCAATGTCACTCCACCTGGCCATCCTCTTGTCTACTTCTCACTGCAGGGCCACTGGAGGAGGATGAGGAGGCCCCACAACTAATGCGGACCAAGAGCGATGCCAGCTGTATGATCCAGAGGCGGCCCAAGTGCCGCACCCCCGGTGAGGCCCAGCGCATCCAGCGACACCGATTCTCCATCAATGGGCACTTTTACAACCACAAGGTGATGTCCCAACCTGGCCTCTCCTTGGGCCCTGAAGTTGGGAGCATGGGGAACCAGCCCCAAGCACGGACACAACAGGTCCCATGATTGTCACATGAGAGCTAGTCCTTACCATGACCTGTGAGGGGGCTGTTGTCATCCCCATGTTCTCAGGAGAAATCTCCTGCCCAAAGTCACATCATAACATACTTGTTCATAACCTTGTTTTTTCCACCATTCTGTGGGTACCCGAGGCAGACTGTGATGGCAAGTGTATCTTTAATGACGCCACTTCCTATGAGAGTTCCACTCAAGCTCAACTGATTGATCCATGGGAACACCATGTATCCAGCCATCATTCTCACTGGGTAAATTAAGGGAAGGTGTGCCCAGGGCACATGTGTCAGTGCTCCAGAGAACCTGGACGATTCCTGATTCCCAGCACTGAGGCCTTTTGTCTGAGGATGTATTGTACTGACCTCAGGAAAAGATCGCCTTTCCCAGATTACATCATTGTGTAAACAAACTGAACTGTGAAAGGAGAAGTTAATTGTTACTATAAATGGAATGAGTGGCAGTTTGGGTGAGGTCCTGGATGGAGTGTCCTGTGACCAGCCATATCCTGCCTGCCACGCTGGGAAATGAAAGCTGAAGTGTCCAGCTGTCTGTCTTAATAGAGGATGACTCATGGAGGTGAGGGAGCCTAGGAGAAAGGAGGCCTTGGGACCAGATCTGACAGAGCAAGTAGCCCAAACTGGGCCTTCCAGGGGTCATTCAAGCTGCTCTCTGGGCACTCTTGACTTTTAGATGAAGCCAAATTCAGCTGGGAAAGCTGAAGGGACCCTGCTGGGTCCCAGGTCCTACCCCCCACTCCCCTACTAGGTTTGCAGTAAGTGTGAATGAATGAATGAATGATGATAGGGCTGTCTTTGCTATGTCCAAAAATATCCAGGACTATTTGTTTATTTATTTATTTATTAAGTTGGAGTCTCACTTGGTCGCCCAGACTGGAGTGCAGTAGCCACTCCCGGCCACCACAGCCTCGACCTGCTGGGCTCCGGCGATCCTTCCGTCTCAGCCTTCCGAGTAGCTGGAACTACAGGCGTGCGCTACCACGCCCGGCTGATTTTTCGATTTATTGTAGAGATGAGGTCTCGCCTGCCCAGGCGGGTCTCGACCCCGTGGGATCAGGCAATCCACTCACCTCAGCCTCCCAAAGCCATGGGATTACAGACTGAGCCACTGAGCCCGGCTCCTATCCAGGACTATTTAAAAGTAGAGTTTCCTGAGAGGGAAGGAGGAGCCAGGACTGAAATTAAGTAGAGATTAAGAATGATGTAGATTAACTAACAGACCTATAATGTGACTTGGGTATTCTTGAAATCTTATTCCAAAAGGGATTTTGTCTGTAAAGTGTTTAGCAACCATTGTTAGTATTGATAAAATATTTATATGCTATTTTTTTTTTAAATTTTCAAAAAACATGTGCATGGGTTTAGGCTCTTTCCAATTCTACATTCCTTTAAAAAGGAGTCTTTTGGTTCATTATTCAAGGTCCTGAATAGTGGGTTTTAGCTTTGGTACATTAATTTATTCTTGAAGGATCTGATTCATCTCTAAGAGGTTTGTCTGGTACATTAAATCTTATTGTAGTCATTGCACATGTCATAGGGACACAATGTCTCTAGTATTCTGTGACCTTTGACAAGAACAAAAATGAACATCGAAGACTCTTATCACAGCTTTCCATTTGCATATGAACCACTCTGCCAAGAAGAGATACCCAGCCAGCCAGACAGACACAGAATCATCCTGTCAGGGAGGCTTTTCCTCCTAAGTCTGTGGAATGTGGTTCCATTCTTCCAGGCAAAAGTGCAACCTTCCAGCCAGCTCGGTGGCTCAGCCTGTAATCCCAGCACTTTGGGAGGCTGAGGTGAGTGGGTTGCCTGAACCCGCAGGTTCGAGACCCATCTGGGCAACTTGTTGAGACCGCATCTCTACAATAAATCAAAATGAGCCAGGCATAGTAGCACGCGCCTGTAGTTCCAGCTACTTGGAATGCTGAGGCGGAAGGATCACCAGAGCCCAGCAGGTCGAGGCTGCAGTAGCTAGGAGCGGCCACTGCACTCCAGTCTGGGTGACAGAGTGAGACTCCAACTCAAAAAAAAAAAGTGCAACCTTCCAGGACATGGAATACTATTTTAGGCATTTTGGACAGTTAGTTCTTAACTTCTGATTGAATAAAGGTTCCCAAAAAGAAACCCTATCCAAAAGCCCTCATTCTCACCAAGCAGAAGTACTGTTCTTAAAAATTAAAGGACAAATTCCTTGAATCACAGGCAATAATTTAAAAAATAATTCTTAGTGTTTACTTTCCAGGGTAGTCATTCCAGGTTTTATTTCTTAGAACTGTGCATTATTAGTTCTGATTCACAGTAATGTTGGTTTTATTTTGATACTGGGTAGAACTTTGTAACTGTTTCCACTGCTTTTCCCTGGACTGTTGGATTCAAATGTGTTCTATTAGAGAGGAACCATTTGTGGTTAGAGATGAGAAAGCAGCCATGAGACCTCTGTTCCCACTTGGAGTGGATTGGTGTCATCTTGAGAAAAGGCTTCGTGCAGAAGCAGCACTAACAGTCTTGTTGACAAGACGTTTTGTCTCTTTGAAATAGCCTGGCTCCTCCATTTCATATTTCTTGGGAACAGAAAGCTAAAGTCTGACCTTCTGTATAACCCAGAGTCATTCTGTCTCAACTAGAATTGAGACCTAGGGAAGCAGATCGAGGTTTGGGTTTGACTCTGTTAAGGCATATCTTGTTTTATTACACTTCTCTTTATGGCATTTTGTAGATATTGCCGTTTTTGCAAATTGAAGGATTGTGGCAACCCTGCATCAAGCAAGTCTATTAGCATCAACAGTATGTGCTCACTTAGTGTCTCTGTGTCGTTTTTTACTGATAACGTATTTTTAAATTAAAATATGTATTTTTTTTTAGACCTAATACTATTGCACACTTAATAGACTATAGTATAGTGGAAACATAACTTTTACATGCCCCGAGAAACCAAAAAATTTGTGTGACCCACTTTATTGCAATATTCACTTTATTATGATGGTCTGGAACCAAAACCTGCAGTGTCTCTGATGTATGCCTGTACTTACTAGAGCAGGGACCAACTGTGAACACTGAAAAGATCTCTTAAATATCCTGATTCTCAGCGAACTCCTTGGGAAAACAGAGCTAGGACCATAGAGGAGGAATATTGCAAATTTGAACTTGGATTTGAAAAGCATGGAGAAGTTCACTTGCAAAGGTGTCACATTTCACTGGGAGGCACCAGCATCAAGGTGGTAATGTGTGGACTTTCAGGCAGCACAGAATCCTTTGAGTCGTGGCTCTATCCTTTCCAGTTGGGTGAAAGAAACAAGCTACCTAACCTCCCCAAACCTCTGATTCCTTTCTAAGAAAACGGGACTAGTTGTAAGTACTTCAAAGGGTTGTGGTGAGGATTAAAAGGTTGTATGTAAGGAAACCTATGAGTTCATGTATCAAAATAAAGTTTGGCAAAAGAAGATTGTTTGTAAAATGTTTAGCAGGTTCAATATGGCTAATGTTTATTGAGGACCATGCATCAGGCAATATTCTGCTTTATTTCATATACAGTTTCTGGTAAACAAAGACAAGATACCTGCAGGGATATAATGTGTCCTCCCCAAAAAAACAAAGAAGCTAGAATGGATAGAGCACAGAGTGCTTGTGAGGGAACCATGGTGTCATATGTGCATGACAATAAGAGGAGCTACAGATGGCATTGTATAGGCCACAGAAACCCTTCAGATATTTTGTTTTAAGACCTGTGCTTTCAAACAGTGCTTCTTGCATTGTATTGTACAAATAGCATGGCCTGGTATTCTTCTACAAAGGCAAATTCTGATTCAGAAGGCCTGGTGGGGGTGGGGGACTGAGGCTATACCTCGGTGCAGCTGGTTTAGATTGCACCTTGAATTACAAGGTTTGGGAAAGGTGCCTTTGGGCAGCAATGTGAAGAATGGAGAAGAACTGAGATTAGAAGGAGACTAGTTGAGAAGTTGATGCAGTATGATTTGAGGGCCTCCCCTCAGGCACTGCTTGGGAGAATGGAGAGGAGAAGACATAATCAGCCTTAGAATCAACAGATACTTGAGGACTTGATTGCTAGAAAGAGTGAGTGAGGGAGAGACTGGTTTTCCCACCCTTATGAATTCCTTGGATCCAGAGAGGTGGCCCTTATGGGTATGTAGGCATCTTCCTTAGGACCTCTGGAAGATATAGAGTATTACAACTTCCCTAGTTCCCCCAAGGTCTGGAAACAGCTTGTGTGTGCATCTGCGTGGGTGGACAAGTACGGGTGTTATTCCCAGAGTGCAGGTTCACCTGCTTCTGGGGTCTGCTCAACACTGTGAAGTCAGCCCCATGGCCCCTCTGAGTCTGCCCTGAACTGCCCTTCTTCCCTGCACAGACCTCCGTGTTTACCCCTGCCTATGGGTCCGTGACCAACGTGAGGGTCAACAGCACTATGACAACCCTGCACGTGCTCACCCTGCTGTTGAACAAGTTCAGAGTAAGTCTGACCATGAGCGGCCTTACCTGGGGATGCTGGTGGCTTGCTGTTTTGTCGAAAGAGGGAAGAAGGCTGGAGAAAGCTGCCCATGGTTCCTGGGTGGGAAGTCTAGCAAGGTTTCTTCTACTGAGCTATTGTCTCTGGGATTTTAAGCAGAAAGAGGGGACAGTCCCTGAGACTTATGTGTGTGGCATTGGGGGTGTGGTTACTGCCAGGGGACCCTCTCTATTTCTCTCTTCTCAAAACACCATGGTTTGACTTCCTGTGACTGCCTGTGCAGGTGGAAGATGGCCCCAGTGAGTTTGCACTTTACATCGTTCATGAGTCTGGAGGTAAGTTGCCTCCATTTCCAAATCATATAGGCAAAAAGTCTCTTCCCACTTGGAAAGCCTGCTGACCTGCTCCTCCTTCCCAGATGGGCCTTGGGTTAGCTTGCCTGGGAGCACACGATGCCTTCCACCATGAACGTTTCTCCTCAGACCAAACCTGGACACACTTGCCATCTCTTTCAGAATTCCACAAACTGTATGGGAAGCTTCCCTCTCCACTTCTTCAAGTAAAATGCATGGGTCTCTAGCTCCTTGTTGTTCAGTTAGGAGGGGTGGGGGTTCATGTCAAGCTGCTACTGCAGAACCCGCAGGTTCCTCCCTGCAGAGTTCCCTGCACAGTCTGGCACCTGAGCTAGCCCTGGCCTCCTCATCTCAGCTTTCCTTTCGCCCATCCACTCACATCCTGTTTCTCTCCAAGTTGAGTCTTTGCTGAATGACGCTGGAGGACGAAAAAAAGTATTTTTCCTCTACCCATGTTAAGGTCATTGGCTGGAACCCTGTAATTAGATTAATAAAAGACAAATTAACAAGAGAAAAACAACAGAAGTTGTTGGCAAGTGCCTCGTGCATACCCATGGCACCATCCGGGGTAGTTATTGGGGATAGTTAGAATTTGGGCTTTTATAGCATATTAACAAAAGAAGTATCCGTTTTTTGAGAAATGACAAGACAAAGGAAAAGGGCTTTGACTTTCTAGGGAAGCAAATGGTGGGAAGGTCAATATATGAGGGAACTAAGGAGTTCTAAGGGCTCCTCTCGGCTTGCCTTAGCAAGATGTGTTATGTAGATTCCTCTGGTGACCTCTCAGAGCTCATGAGTGTCTAGGGCTGTCTGTGGCGATTAACTCTGTTTTTCCTGGTAGAAAGGGAAGGAGCACACCTTTACAAACTTATGACCTTCTTTTAGGCAAAACAGGGAGAGCAGGGTACTTTTCCTGTATCTGATTCTTTTCAATTGCCTGCAGCTCAACACCATTCTTGTGCCAAAGTAGCAGATTTGGGGTGGCATGTTCTGTTAACCTTCAGTATTATCACGCATCTCTCAGTGTTCTCAGCAAAGTCTGGAGAGGGCTCCCTGTGCCCCTAGACAGCAGTTTTCTGTCAGTTCTTGTTTAGAACAGAAAGAAGTGATCCTAATGTCCCATAAATTTTGTAAACCACCTTCTTGTTTTCAGAGCGGACAAAATTAAAAGACTGTGAATACCCACTGATTTCCAGAATCCTGCACGGGCCATGTGAGAAGATTGCCAAAATATTCCTGATGGAAGCTGACTTGGGTGTGGAAGTTCCCCATGACGTGAGTGGGGGCTGAGCCTAGGGAGACATGCTCCTAAGGAAGGGGCAGGGAGGTAACAGGGGACTCCTAAGGACTCTGAAGGTGATCTTGGCCAGATCCCTCTCAGGCGATGTCTCCAGGGGCTCTCCAGCCATACCAAAGGGCCTTAGCCCAGCAGAGTGATGGCTCCATACCTCCCTCTCCTATCAGTCACCACCAACATCATCAGCTGAGGAGAAACAAGTTGGGTCCAAGAGGCAAGTGAATGTACTTTGTTGTCATTAAAGACGCATTCAAGACCTCTTTAACTAGGGCCCATGAAAGGGAGAAAGATGTCTAAATCTTACAGACAGCCTGAGCCCTGGCCAAACATGAGTACATTTCCAAACTCCTTTGTGTAGAAGAAGCTTATAGGGTTTGGACCCCAAGGAGAAGGCCTGGTGGTCCCATATCCCTCAAGCTGTTCACAGGGCTAGTGCAGTTTCATTCTATTCTTAAAAACAATGGTGCTCCCACTCCTCCCCCACCCACACCCCAGAGAATACTCAATGTAACAATGCTGCAGTGTTGAATGCTTTTCCTAATATTCAGCTTAATATTTCCTCCCAGGGATAGCAATTGCCTTTGAGATAAGAATGGGCTCCCATCCTTCCAGCCTAGTATACAGCAGAGCAGTATTGGGGGCAGGGTGGGAAAAGGGGCAGCTACTTCTGTGGATACAAGACATCGGCTGCATGGGCCACAGTGGAAGCCATGAGAAAAAGAAAACACATTAAAATGTTCTTGGATTTTCTAGGTCGCTCAGTACATTAAGTTTGAAATGCCAGTGCTGGACGGTTTTGTTGAAAAATTAAAAGAAGAGGAGGAAAGAGAAATAATCAAACTGACCATGAAGTAAGCAGCACCTAAACAGCCAGTCGTGGGTCCTGGACAACAGGGCAAGTCTGAGAGGTCTCTCTCCTCCATATGCACCAGGTGCCCTGGCAGTTTGGGGCGGTCTACTAAGCCCGGCTCTCTGGCGTCACCCTCTGGTCCCTTGATCAGTATTACCTCCAAGATTGGGTGATGGCCTACCAAAATGTCAGGGACTGAGCCCCAACCTCCTATCCAGCTTCAGCATCCCACTAGCACAGGACACAAGCTGCAGAAAAGTAGGCAGGGAAGTTAGAGGAAAGAGCCCGGGTAGGTGCCAGGTCAAGTGCACCCAAATTCTACTTGTCATGTGGCTTTGGAAAAACAATGGAGGAACAGGCATGTCAGGTCTGACTCAGCCTGGCCAGGGCCTTTCATGTTAGAAGGAATTCTGATCCTGCCACAAAGTGGCAGTTGTTAGAATTCCCAGCACCAGCAAATGTTTTCAGGTGCAGGGAACTGGTTCAATGGAAAGGTGAGCAGGTGTCACTTGCCTGCTCCTGGGGAAGCTACATCAGGGTCCAGCTGTGTGAGGTTAGTCAGGCTACGGGTTCCATTGTTCTTTCTCTCAGCAAGGTGAAGCATGGATCAGGACACATGGAAGGCATTTAGTCAGGGCCTGGAGGGAGTCAGCTTAGGAAGAAAAGGGCAAACTGCTCACTGTGAGGGCTGTGGAGCAGGGGACGAGTTTGGATTTTGGCTTCTGGCTGAATGACCCTTGGAAAGCCACACCCCCCCAACAGGCACCTGTCTATGCAGTCAGGACCCCAGGGCACAGGAAGTCAGCAGAGACCCCAGTCAGAGGGAACCATCTATATGCAGTTAGTCATGTTACTATAGGATTTGAGAGCTGGAAGGAACCTGAGGGTCAGCTAGTTGGTTTGTTCAGAGTGCAGAGAGGAAACAGGCTCAAGATGAGAAAGGTTGTAGCACAGGTTATTGCAGAACCTGGGCTGGAACACAGGCATCCCAATCCCTGCCCTACTACCCTGTCCACTCCAATGTGCTCTTGTCTATATTGAAGACTCTTTGGAATAGAAATGGCAACATTCTGCTTTGAAGCTCTGTGGGGTATGCAGCCCTGTTTGATTGCTCCTCACGGGACACAGGGCAGGTGCTTACCTCTCCTTGGTGGAGGAGGACAGTGGCTACCAGTCAGCCCTTCAGGAGCAGGAGTCACCTGGACTGGGCATCTGTGAGTCCCTCACTCTGCTACCCACCTCCCTATCTTTCCACCCTGTGAGTTCTCTTGGCCATGTCTCCCTCTAGGTTCCAAGCCCTGCGTCTGACAATGCTGCAGCGCCTGGAGCAGCTGGTGGAGGCCAAATAGCTGGCTGCCTCCTGCCTCTTCCAAAGCCCCCAACAGCAGCAGGTCCACACTGAGCCCTTGTGGCTGGATCCTGGTTGGACACACTGACTGATGGCTACCACTTTGAGGAATAAAGCCCCTGTGCTTTTACCTGTTTGAAGCCTAAGAACCATGAGTCCCACAGCCCTAGCTCTTGGCTCCAAAGTGAGCACCCATAGGGAGCAGACCCAAGTCGTTGAGTGGGATCTGTTTGGCCAGCTTGTTCACACCATGCCTCTTCTGCTCAGGAGAGCAGTGCCTGACTCAGCCCCTGTGGCATAGGCTTCATCCAGTTGCTCGGTGCCTGACTCAGAGCTCCTACAGGGCCACAAGTCCCTACCCCCATCCTCCGCATGAGCTACAAGATTCCTGTCTGCCCTCAAATCATGCTGCCACACAGGAACTCTTTTGCAAAAAAAAAAAAACCCAAAAAACAGGGACTGCCAGCAGGTATGGGACATGTCCTGCTCCCAGCGTTCACCTCACCATGGTGTCCCTGGTCTCCAAACCTCCAATGTCACTCCATGAGTCTCCCACAGCCCAGTGCCGCTGGCACAGAGGCGAGACCATGAATAAGACCATCTTCTCTACAAAAATCAGTCTTAACTTCATCAGCAAGACCCAAAGGAATTCCTATAAGGAGCTTACTGCAAGAAACATGTCAATTTGATCACATTTAGGAGGTGGTTCACACAGCATTGAAAGGACACTGCCCTGTGTAGAAGAGAGTCCAGGGCTGTCCCCAGCAACTTCAGAAGGTTATGGTCAGCCACCAGGACCACTGTTCTTTGGATGCATGCATGCCCCTTGCTGTCTCTATGTTTACATTCCTCTCCTCTGGTGGGCAGGGGACAACACCCTGCTTCTCCTCAGGGGAGAATGATGGGGAGAAATGTTTGTTTAAGGAGAAAGGGCTTTGAATTCCCTGGGGCCAGATACTGAACAATTTGTCCACTGATGGAGAATTTCAGGAATGAATGAGAAAGACTTTGCAAAACTATGTAACAGTTTACATTGGTCGTATGAATTGTTTGTTCAAAATAGAGCAAACTGAAGACCAAATTCTTGTCCCTTTGAGTTCTGTGTATGGTAGATTTAAAGGGAAGAACCATAAAGGCTTGCAAAAATAGGAGAGAGACTATTTCTAATGCATGTAGAAACATTGACAAGAACAGACTCCTGTCAAGAGCAGAATTTGGGAGCAGTCATATCATGCGGAGCTACTCATCAGGGCAAGTGTCACCCCAGGATTTCCCCAACCCAGGTCCATTGTCACAGAGACACAGAGATGAGGAGGCCAGGCCACTATTCTGTCGTCTCTGCTCTCCTTTTGCAGCATGGTTCTTTAGGTTCCTTAGGTGCTCATTAAAAGTCTGCTATATTGAACTGAAGACCTGAGGACCCAGCTTTCTTTTTTTTTCTTCTGTGTGTCCACCCTGTCCCCTACCTCTCATCTCTGAAATGCAGTATGTGTGGCTGTGTCTGGCAGAAGAGCCACAACTCACTGCCCTTAACACTGATGCAACCCCTTCATTTTTGTGCATGTCCTGGGGATTGGTATGGGACCTGAGGAGAGGCTGCTGCCATGGGGAACCGAGAAGGAGTCACTGATGGGGAACTGCAGGTGGCCCAGACATTGAGCGATGAGATCACCCTGAATCACAAAATTGTAGCATCAGGAGGGCCTCAGCAATCTTCCAGGCAGGGATTCAGGTGGGATGGAGGCGGGGCCTAGGAGAGAGTACAAAACAAATCAAACAGGAGCTCCCGGGTAATTTTATTCCCCAGCCCTTATTTACAACCTCAGGTCTAGGACAGCTCTTGTCCATTGTTCAGCCATAAATGGATCACTGAATTAACAAAGATAGAGCCACAGCCAGCTCTGTGTTTAGGTGTCTCCTCATCAGAAGAAGGCTAGACACTGGGGAGGGTCAGGAGGCCAGGTCAGGAGAGACCCAGAGAAGCTTCCAGGAAGGAGGCTTGAGGCTGAGCTGGAGTTGGCTAAGACAGTGCATGTGACAGTGCAGGCCATGAAACACCTGACTGCCAAAAGCAAGAGGGGCCTAGCACACAGGAATTTACTGGAGCAGGAAACCCTCTGTAAGTGCCAGCCTATTTTGTTTGTTTGCTTTTGCAATTTTTGCTTATTACAATATTATATAAGGCCTTTTAAATGCCACTTTTTAATCACTTTTTAATTTATCTTTATGTTTTTAGAAACAGGATCTTACTCTGTTGTCCAGGCTGAAGTGTGTGGTAGCATGTTCTGAGCTCCCTGTAGCCTCAAACTCCTGGCCTCAAGCCATCTTCCCACCTCAGTCTCCCAAGTAGGTAGGAGTACAGATGTGTGCCACCGAGCCAGGCAATTTTTTGTTGTTTTTTTTTTTAGAGATGATGTTGCCCAGGCTGGTCGCAAAATCCTAGCCTCAATAAATCCTCCTACCTCAGCCTCCCAAATCACTAGGATTACAGGCATGAGCCTCCATGCCCGGCCAAGTGTCACTTTTAAAATAGAAACTATCAAACTAATTTCTGAATATCATAGCTCATAAAAATCACTAGCAAGTTGCACCTAAAAGGGGAAAAGGTATAGTTCTCAAATGTTTTTATCAACACCATATTTGCTTTGCAGAGACCATCTGAAAAGCTGCTGACTCAACTCAACTCCACAGTTTCAAATGTTGGAGGCTGGGCTTTGTGGTTTCCTGCAGGTTACTGTGAGGAGCTCCAGCTTTCTTTCTTTATAGAACTTAAGATATTTCTCACATGCTTCTTGACTAACCGGTATCTCAGGTAATAAATGTGTCCAAAGATAAAGCAAAGATTCCTATCAGAATGTCTCCTAAAATAGGACTTGTTTTCCCACACCAGGCCTCAAGAACCAGAGAGAATAATAAATAGCACAGGATAAAATCAACATGATTGCAAAAGGACTGGACTTTGGGAAAAACAAGGTTGTTTGTTTGCCCAGAACAAATTACCAGAAGGGATCAAAAACATCTTGTTTTTCCTCGGTGTTAACCATGTTCTACCTGCTTGAAATGTTTACAGAAATGGATTAGAGGACTTTACACTGGGAAAATAAAGCCATGTGTTCACCCAGGATACATCTGGCCCCTTAGTTCCATGGAAACAAAGCCCAAGGCTTATCCAGTCTCATCAGATGATTTGTGGAGGAACCAACAATGCAAAATGTGCCCTTGTGTATAGGACACAGATACCCTGCAGCTGCAGAGGAGGCAGCGGGATAGCCTTGTCAGATGCAGTGGTGGGCAACAGGTCCTTTGCCCTTGGTCCCTCAGCAATGATAAGACAGGAAGCTTGGTCAGTCAGAGTGTAAAAGTGTAAAAACAGCAGATGCCCACACTATATTTAGGATCCAGGAGCTGTGATTGTCTGAGAACAGGCCAGCCGCTGACGTGCCCCAAGACTCGTATTGCACAGGGTGGGAATCTGCATCCTCCTGGTTGGCCTTTCCAGAGAAGTTTTTTCAGACCCAGGAACGGGGATTCCCAGGGTTTCCTTTCCCAGAAAATCCAAAGGAAACAGCAAAGTCTCAGGCTTGGTGGAAAGAAACTTTGTTCAGGGTCCCTGTGCTGGGAGGCCTCCATGGTGGAGGATGGGCTATTCCTATTATTGCACTTGGGCCACATGTATAACCGGCCTTCTTACACACTTGGGCTAGGGATCAGTGTTGCCAAATGCAGACCCAAGGCATCAGTGCTCCCCGCTGATAGATAGAGGGAGAGAGAGAGAGAGAGAGAGAGAGTGTGTGTGTTTGTGTGTGTGTGTGTGTGTGTGTGTGTGTGTGTGTGTGTGTGTGTGTCTTCAAACAAGTGGGGCCACAGGGGAGAAAAACCATAGAAAAGGAAACTGTCTTTCCAGGATTTTGCTTAGCTCAGAATACTCTTTTTCCTAGAATGAATCCTTCAAATACCACCAGGCTCAGGGGCACATTAGCCCCTGCTGGGTGGTTTCCCAAAGAAGCTCTAGTCACCAAGAAATCTGGCCTTTTGATCCAAATTTCCCAGAAAGATGCTCTGCTAGAATGCCCAGACTGTATGGTCCTGCCCGCTCTCTTCTTCCTTCTCCTTTGTGTTTTGTATCATGTCCACACCATTTTCATAATTTGCATAAAATAACCTAGAATCCCATTTGGGAATTACACTAATATTTTAGAGATTAAGAACATAGGCTCTGGAGCCAGACTCTCTGTCTCTGCCATTTATAAATATGTGATCTTAGCTTCAGTTACCTCATCTGTAAAATGAGAATTCTATGTGGAAAAAAAAATTCAATTTTTTTCTATTCTTTCACTCAACAACAATAATTACAGAACACTTTTGTGACCAAAATGGGGAGGGGAGAGGTTTATCCCACACACTCAGTTCTGCAGTGGATACCACCAGTCAGGTGTCTTCCAATTCAATTCTGAGACTGTCTACTTAGAGATAGCATCAGATCCCACAGGCTGAGGGCTTAGTCCCACAAGATAGCATCACACTTCCCATCAGTCACAAGTCTCAGCCCCCAGAACTTCTGACCAACCAGCTTCTAGTTGGAGTTCCCATGGCCCTCTCTTTGGGTTCAATTAATTTGCTAGAGCATCTCATGAAGGACCTCAGGGAAATGCATTACCAGTTTATTACAAGGATATACAAAGGATACAGATGAAGAGATGCATAGGGTGAGGTATAGGGGAAAGGGACACAGAGCTTCCATGCCCTGCTAAGGGTGCCACCCTCCAGCAACCTCCACATGAGCTATCCAAAAGCTCTCCAAACATAGTCCTTTTGGGGTTTTATGGATGCTTCATTATATAGGTATGATTGATTAAGCCATTGGCTGTTGGTGAACAACTTATTCTTCAGCCTTCTCCTCTCCTCTGAGGTTGGGGTAGGGATGATTAAAGACCCAACCCTCTAATCCTGCCTTGGTCTTTCCTGTGATCAACCCCATACTGAAATTACCTAGGGGTTGTCACCAGTCAACTCACTAGCATACAGAAAGACATCACTTTGGAGGTCCCAGGGATTTTACATGTTGTATAACATGAAAGAGGTCAAAGATCAAGTATATATTTCAGAATATCATGAAAATAACAGTTCTATTCCTCAAGGCTGTTTAGAGGTTTATTAGACAGTTTTATGCAGTAACAAATAACACTAAAAATCTCAGTGAATTTATTTCTCTCGCATGTTACATGGGACGGTAGTGGCTACAGTTAGACTTATGTGTATCCTCCCATCCTTGGTCATAGACTAAAAGAGAAGCTCCTACTAGGGACATGCTACTCTTGAGGCAAAGAGAAAGAGCAGAGTCATGGTCAAAATATTCAACGCTTTTTCTGAGAAGCAGTGTACCTCATACCCACTCACGTGTAGTTCAAGACACATGGTCAAATCAACATCAGTGGGATGGGCATGTACTTCACTAGGCACCAAAAGTCACACCACTAGAGGCAGGGATAAGTGAAAGGTGGAGCAAATGTTCAGGAACAATTACACCACAGGGATATTAAATGAGGTACTGCAAGTGCTTCAGTGTCTGCACACAATAAGCATTCATTAAGTGTTCACTATTATTATATTAATAAATAGAGGGCACAAAACCCTGCCTGTTTCCTCTCCTTCTCTTTTTCCTTTTCCTCTTTATCCCCACCTCCCCCCAACATCCTTTTCTGGCTCTTCCTTCTTTCCA